AGTGGTTTGTAAGCAGGGTGTTATTCAGTTTCCATGTAACTGATTTTTTTCCTTGCTCTTCTTGTTGTTAATTTCTACCTTGATGGCATTGTGGTCAGAGAAGATACTTTGTATTATCTCAGCATTTTGGATCTTGTTGAAGGTTGCTCTGTGGCCTAAGATGTGGTCTATTCTAGAGAATGGTCCATATGTATTGGAAAAGAATGTATACTTTGCAGGTGTTTGGTGCACCTCTGGCGGTGTTGGTTGCCCTTGGTCATAGAATGGTAGGTAGGCCATCTGAATGGTCTGCAGGCTCTGAAGCCGGGTGGGGAAGCTCCCATCAGGGGCAGACCCTGGCCAGCTGGAGTTTGTGTGCAGACGGGAGCCCCTCTAGCCACTACTCATCCAGCTGGTACTTTGCATCTAGAAACCCCTGCAAGTGGAAGGGAGATCACAATCAATTTGGTCTTCACCATTCGTCTTCTCAGCATGCACCTGGCACCCACTCTTAAACTCTGCCTTCCTAGAAGAATGCCAAATCCAACTAGGACCCACAGTGTGATGCTTCGCAAGGGGAAGGACTGGCAAAGTCAAGTGAAATACTCATTTGCATTTTTGTGGCCACCTGCTTCTCCACAGCCTACCATGGCATACTGCATATGTGTGACCTCCTGGAAGCCAGGGCCAGATATCCTGTGCCCCTGGAGGCCTGAGGAGTGTTGATGTGGGCATATGGACGACCAGTGTCCCATGTGTAGAAGGGAGACTTGAACCCCAGTCTGACTGGCTATGGGGCTCTAGGACCCTTGGGAGCTGTTGGGTGGAGTGTTGTATATATGCCTATGAGGTCAAGTTGGCTGATTGATTTTACCCTTTAGGTCTTCTGTATCTTTGTTGAGTTTCTTTCTTGATGTTCTGTCCTTTACCGAGAGGGGTGTGTTGAAGTCTACTACTATTATTGTGGAACTGTCTATTTCTCTTTTCAGTGCTCTTAGTTTGTTTTATGTATTTTGGAGCCCTGTCATTGGGTGCATAGATGTTTATTATGGTTATGTCTTCATGATGGATTGTCCCCTTAATCATTATATAGTGTCCTTCTTTGTCTTGGTGGATTTTGTTTTAAAGTCTATTTTATCTGAGATTAGTATTGCCACTCCTGTTGTTTATGGTAGACGTTTGCTTGATGTATTGTTTTCCATCCTTTGATTTTTAATAAATTTAGGTCTTTATTTCTAAGGTGTGTCGCTTGTAGACAGCATATTGATGGATCTAATTTTTTTATCCATTCTGTCACTTTTCATTTCTTTATGGGTGCATTTAGGCCATTTACATTCAGTGTAATTATTGATAGGTGTGTGTTTATTGCTGTCATTTTGTAGTGCTTTTTTTTGTGGTGCTGACGTTTTCTTTGTTCCTCTTACTCTCTTGTGCTGATTTCCTTTTTTTTGTGTGTGTGGATTTTTTTTTTTTTTTTACCTTTCTTTTGTTTTTGTAGGTTTTGTTTTTACCGAGACTTTATTTTTTCTTCTTTATTTTGGTGAGTAGGTTTGTTAACTTTCTCTGTGGTTACCTTAAAATTTACTCTTATCTTCCTAGGTTTGAACCAGTCTATTATTAGTTGGTATCGTCTTGCCTTCTTCTCCATTAGGTTTTATACCTTCAGTGTTTATTCCCTCTTTTATTGTTCTGATGTAGTTGTCATTTACAGATTAATCTCTCTGGTTCCGTTGTAATTCTCTTGGTTGTTCTGTCTTCTGCTGGAAGCTCCGTGAAACTGCTTTCCTGTACTCCCTGTTCGTTGATCTCTGACAGGAGTCCGAGCTGGTAGATCTGTGCTGCGTTAGCTAATAGGGAATCTCTGCATGTATCTCTCCTCACTCTCTGTTTCCTGTCAGTTTCTTATTCCATTTGGTGCTTGACGGAGATCTTTATCGCTTCATTTGATGCTTTGCTGTGGAGGGGCAGCGTGGTGCTTCTGTCTATAGCACATGTTGCCCAGAAGTCTCCTCCACTCATGTCAATTCTGAAGGTTCGAAAGACCTGAAGAAGAGTAATCTGTGCTCTGGTTAGTGCAATCCATCATTAACCACAGTTTTGGCTACGTTTTGAATCCTCAATACAGACAGTGATAAATAGAACAAAAGGTGGTCAAATAGAGTGATTTTCAGACAAGGATTTTAGCTTAGAGCCTGAGCTATTCAGAAAATCGCATTTTTCCTTAGGAGAGACATTGAGGAAAAGAGAAAGGAGAAAGAGAGAACATTGCAATGTTGTCTTTCTAAGCAGTGTTGTGTGTAGGTGATGATTAAAGTTTTAGGGTTTGAAATGAATGAACTTTAGTTTAAATATGGGCTTCATCAGCTACTAGACCTTGCACAAGTAATTTAACTTCTTTGAGTCTCAGTTTTCTCACACATAAAATGAGGATAATGATAATACCTATCTTCCAAGATTGCTGTGAGCATTTAATGAACTTGCATATGTGAAACCTTTTGGAACGGAGTCTGGCACATAGTATAGCTAATGAAGCCACAATAATGTTAGTAAAAATAAGAAGCAAAGGGGGAGATTCAAGTGAATAAAGATGGTTTGTAAACATAGCTGTTCCTCAGCTCAGTGATGTTGGACAGATAGTTCATTTAACTTTTCTAGGCTTTAGTTTTTTCATTAGTAAAATAGTAAACTGCCAAAGATTTCACAAATGAAAATGGCCTTCTAGTTCATTGATTTAAGACGGGTCTAATGTTCATCGTTAAATGACTTTTAGTGATCTCAACATTATAGCGATCTGTTTGGCTTGTCATTAAGATATAGAATGTGTAAGAGTTCCATGAGATATACAGAAGACGATATGCCATGTAAAACATAGAAAACTGCAATAAGTTATATGGTGAATGTCTTAGTTTGACAGATGCAGCCTGTAATCCCTTAATGCTTCTTTTCCCCCTAAACTAAGAAGATTTTTTTCTCTGATCCTTAAAAATCAATGCTACACAAAAACCTAAAGTAAACAGCCATCCCATGTGCAGATCAACTGGTTTGGTCATGAAGACATTTAAAATTGAATTTATAATTGCATTTATAAATCCATCTGCTTAAAGAAAACTACTAAACAAGAAAAAGCTGAAATTTCAGACTCTTTAACCTTTTGCCTCCTCAGCCATCTTGTTCAAATCAAATTTATCTTCTGTTGAAACTGTAGATCCCATGGAAGTCATAGGCAAGTTAGCCAATGTACCTGCTCAGATTGCTTCCAGGGATGGTGTTGGTTCTAGGTTATTTTACATAGGTCAGATGAGTGTCTACATTTCCATCAAACTCACTCATGATTTTTAATTAACCCCCAGATCATTCAACAATAGAGTCTATTAAGCAAAACCTGGGATGCTGAGGAAGCTTGTAATACTATGACAGAAAGCAGTGCAGAGTGAAGAAGTCTCCACTAATTTACATGGTTCAAATTGTTTGTCATAAAGGATCAGGGAAAGATGAGTCAATATGTGCTGAGAGGTGGCCATAATATTCTGATTTATCATGTTTCGCTTTCCCCACGAAGCAGGTGACAAAATGGAAATAAAGCAAAATGAATTTATTCTTATTAGATTGTAGCCACAATCTCATATTGAGTTCAGATATTAGATTTCCTGCCACCTTCCTGTGTTATCCGTTTATTGCTTTCAAAGGCTAGAATGGCCTGGGTTAAAAGTGTGTCTGTGGCATAAGGTATCTTAAATGGATGACACAATTTCCCTGGGCTCTGCTTTGGGTGGAGTTTACATGTTGGTGATGTTTGGGGCCTTGATGGAGACCAAACAGGAATGATCCTTGCTGAGAATAATGGTTTAATAAAAGAAAACGGGAACACAAAGATGAATATTCTTACTGGTGATATTTATCCAAGAATGACATTGTCTGAGTAGGAGCTTTTTTGTTTGGCTGAGAAAGGCACAAGATTTCTTTCTGCAATGGTTTCCTCCCTCATTTGCTCTCAGGTTGTTACTGAGTACACTTGCCTCTGACATTTCCCTTAAGCCCAATTGTGAGAAAGGCCTCTCTTTCCCACATCAAATGTGACACATATGCCCCCAAATCCACGTATTGTAGAGCCAGTCCTTTCATATTTTCTGATATAAACTATCTGTTTGGCTCAAGGCTTCAATGTGACATAACAATAAAGTACTCTGTTCAGTTTGAATTATACCTGTATGCATGTACTGAAGTTTGATGATAGGTTGAAGATCAAGAACATCTTCAATTAATTCAAACAAAAAAGACATCGTCTGACACTGCCCCATAGGGTTTCCAAGGAGCAGCTGGTGGCTTCGAAACACTGACCTTTTGCTTAGCAGCTGAACACTTTAACCACTGCACCGCCAGGGCTCCTTGAGAAAGGAGTAAACTTAAATCAGAACAAAAATTAGAAATTAGGTATGCCTTGTAAAAATGAAGCACCTGGGGCTAGAAGGTAGAGCTGGAAGAGTAGATGGGCATCATATCACCTATCTAGAAGACTTCTTCATTCTCTAGTAGCTCCGGCCAAGGTTGCTAGAGTCTGTGGCATCAACACCTGACTGACCCCTCTGCCCAGCAGTATCTGACAGGAGGACCAAGGTCAGCCCCATAGCTGTTGTACTGGGGCTCTGTGCCAGCAATGTTTTTTTCTGAACAGAGTGGCTTAATGGTCCACCTGAATGGAATGCAACATAGTCTCTTTCTTATCCTGACACTCCTTCCTCAGAAAGTCAGGCTCCTACTAATCTTGTTCTTGCTTCTGTGTGCAAGTCCAGAGCAGTGCCCTTGTGCACCTACCTTCCAATCCCATACACACTTCTTTGACTAGCCTTTCTCCATCTTCTTTGTAGACTCTTCAACCTTCCACTTCCTACATATTAGTCTTTCTAAATTTGTTTTCTTCTCTGTCTACACAAGGTAGTATTACTAGTAAGTTCAAATAGGAAATATCAGAGGAATAATGTGCACAGAAGCTGAATCAAGTAGGACAACAGAGAGGGTAGAAGATTCTTTTGTAAAAAAAGAGAAACTTAAGAGGTAGCAGGAGGGGGAAGAAGTTAAGTATTTTTTGGATAAGATTTTTCATGAGATAGCATTTATTATAAGCTATGGGGAAGCAGAGAGTGGAGAAGAAGAGACTAATAATTGAAGAAAGAGAGAAAAAGTGACAAGAAATATCTGGCAGAAGATTAAGAGGGCTGAGATCCAGAGCACAGATAGCGTAATCAGACTGAAAAGGAAAGAGGGACGGTAAGACAAATTATGGTAAAACTGGGATGTGAAGAGTAAGAAAGTTAAAAAAATTCAGATTTGAGGACACAAGTTTATCTGTAAATAGAAGTTAAGGTGATTTGTTTGCCAAAAATTGGTGAGGGGAATTCCACAATAAAGTGGAACTGGTAGTTTTCAACTAGTGAGTTGGAGGAAGGCAACAGGAGGTCAAAAGAAATAAGATTCCTGAGCAACAAGAATGTAGTTGAAGATGGCAAGCTGACTTTGGACTATGTTGTAATTTCCTAGGGTTATCATAACAAAATACCAAAGAAGTGGATGGCTTTAAAGAACAGAAATCTTAGATCACAGTTCTGGAGGCTAGAAGTCCAAATTCACAACACTGGCAGGGCCATGTTCTTTCTGTCCACTTAGTGGAAGATCCTTCCTTGTTACTTTTAGCTTCTGGTAGTCGTACACATATCTTGGCAATCCTTGACTTGTTCCACCCTACTCTGATATGGAGCCCTGGTGGTGCAATGGTTAAGAATTTGGCAGCTAAGCAAAAGGTTGACAGTTTCAATTCCCCAGCTGCTCCACAGAAACTGTAAGGGGCAGTTCTACTCTGTACTATAGGGTCACTATGAGTCAGAATCTACTCGACGGCAATGAGTTTTTTTTGTTTGTTTGTTTTATTCTGGTATAACCTCTTTAATTTAACTGATAACATCTTCAGAGAAAGAGCCTATTTCCAAACAAAGTCATATTCACAGGTACAGGGGTTAGGGCTTCGATATATATTTTGGTTGGACACAATTCAATCCATAAAAGACTGGAATTTATAATACTTTGTGTCAGGGAGCAGGAGGGGAGATTGTTTTACAGGTGGTTCCAGCTTGGCAAGGTGCCCATGTCAGGAGGCTGAGGGTACCTGGTATGAAGGGAGGATGGATAAAATTATTGAATTTGCTGGCCATGGGGTATATAGAGAGAAATTAAACTGAAAAATGGGAAAAATGGGTGGGTGGGAGGGGAAAAGAGAGGTAAAGGAAGGCCAGCTTTCTCTCAATGCTTAAGTATTGTCCTCCATTCCCATTAGTTTGTAATTTTGACCGTGTTTTGATAGTAGATTAAAAAAGCAAGAACTTTGCATAAATAATAGCCAGTTTAAAATTTAGCTAACTCCTTATACCAACAGCACATTGTTATCCAAGCTAACACTAACATATATTGAAAAATAGACTTTGTTAGGGGAAAGTATATATGCTGCAGCCTTTTTGAGTGAGACAAGGAAAAAAGGGTAGCCTGAAGTCTAAGACCAGCAAGCTAACAACCATAGGCCTTGGCACTGGCTGGCAGGAAGCAGAATGACAAAGAATAACCCGGCCTGTGCCATTTTTGCCATGTTGTGTCTTCAAGGTTTTTGGCATTGAGATAAGGAACTGCTTATTGAAATTCTGTTTAACATCTGACCCACAATAATGTTAGTGCTTAATTAAGAACCAAGGACTGGGATTATGTGAAGAACCAAGGACTGGGATTATGTGAAGAAGTGGAAGGAAAATTGGCTACTTAGACCAAGACAGTTCTCCACATCCAAATACAAATAGTGCCAGCCCTTGATTGTCTCTTGTCTGTAGGCAGCTGCAAATTTCATGCAAATCTCTTTCAAGAGACCAAAAACTCAATCACTTAACTCTTTGGTGAGGTTAAAGTAGAAGAGTAGAGTGGATTAGAGCTAATTATAACACAATCCCTTCTGCCCTGCTTCTCGGGGACCAACAGAAGCCTGTCAGATCCCTTATTAAAGCAAATACTCCTGCAAACCAGTGATCCTGTATCTCCTTTATTTATTGAATATACCTGAGTCTATATTAAAATTAAACCAGAGAAATTATGACACCAAAACAGGAAATAAAATACCAGAAGAATCTCACAGTCCCCAGTCTGGATGAACCTTGCTCACAATCAGTGTTGTTAGTTGTCATTGAATCCATTCTGACTCATGCTGAACTCATGTGTGCAAAGTAGAACTTCTCCATAGGGTTTTCAAGGCTGTTACTTTTCAGAGGCAGATCACCAGGCCTTTATTCCGAGTTGCCTCTGGGTGGATTTGAACTGCCAACCTTTCAGTGAGTAGTTGAGTGATTAACCATTTGCGCTACCCAGGGACTCCTCACAATCTGTATATACAAGACTGGTAAGGACCATTGGCTTCTGGAATTGACGAATCTTGATACTAACATTAAAGCAACATTTTCTGTGCTAGAAGATGATGGTGGTAGTGGGAGGAGAAAGAAAATTGAACATTAAGTAAATAATAGACTAAACCAGTTGTTGTTGAGTCAGTCCTGACTCATGACAACCCTATGTGTGCCAGAGTAGAACTGTGCTCCATAGAATTTTCAATGGCTGATTTTTCAGAAGTAGATTGCCAGCCCTTTCTTCTGAGTTGCCTTTTGGTGGACTTGAACCACCAACCTTTTGGTTAGCAGTCCAATCCTTAACTATTTGCACCACCTAGGGACCTGCAATGATAGATCAGGGGTCAATGAGATGGCTAAGGCTACCACATGAAAATGTACAGCCTTGGAGTTATGAAGAACAGCACATTTGCCCAGCTGTAGCACCTGCCAAACAGTAGATTCCATATGAGTTATCTCTACTACTCAAGAGAATGGCTAAAAGTTTCACAAGCATGTTGTTGAAATGTTTTCCAGGCACCAAGTATTTGACAACCTAGAGTCCCTACTGTGTGGCCTCAGAGTCATTTCAAGCTGTCACCTCATCTTTTATGAATGTTAATTAAGCCAGTAACATCTTACTGTAATTCTTTCTAACATTCAAGGCTTTGTAGTGGTGTTTCATTTTTTTAGAATGCTTTATAACATGGCAGTGAATTATGGTTGAAACTAATGCAGTGTTAAAATTGGTATTTTAATCACAGAGAAAGGCAGAAAATGTAAAATCATGACTCCCTGTGAAATTATAATCTAATGTCCTAGCGAATACTTAAAATTTTTCATTAATATGTATGGTATTAATTCGTTCCTCTGCAGTGCAATGGATTCAAATATGTTTGCCCTAGGATTTTAAACTTGGAATTTTACTGGTATTTACATGATTAAAAACAAGGCATTGATTTTGTTTTTATACTTAACTATGCTTTATTTTTATTTTTTCTCTTAAGAAAGAAGAGTTAGTGAGACCAGGATGGGGACAGCCACATTGATTTGTAAATCAGTTAGAGACATACCGGTTGCTAATGGAGTTCCTGGGTGGTGAAACAGTTAATGTTCTTGGCTGCTAACAAACGGTTGGTTATTTGAGTCTACCCAGAGACACCTCAGAAGAAAGGCCTGTTAATCTACTTCCAAAAACTCAGCCACTGAAACCCTGCTCTGACACACGTGGGATTGCCATCAGTTGGAATCAGCAGCAACTTTTTTTTTTAATATGCACCTTATGGAACATCCTGAAGAAAGCATGGAAATCAAGGGCAAACAGCAGCCACTCTTACTTGTTGCTATTACAGTAATTCCCTACTGAAGTGGACATGCCAGTTAATTTGCAGAAAAGGGCCTCTGAAGACAACTGAATTTGAGTTATCAAGAGCACTGGATTTTAGAATCACAAACTTGAGCTGAAGTCATAGGTCTACCATTTACTAGCTCTGTGAACTTACACAAGTTTCTTCACCTCTCTGAGTCTGCTTTCTTATTTGAAATGAGAATTTTCCAGGGTCATCTTTCCTGGAGTGGGAATTTTCCTAGGTTTTTAGAGGTACTAAAAGAACTCATAAGAAGAAAAGCACCCAAGACAATGCTTGGTGCATGGCAGAGAGTGAATCAATATTAGGTTATTTCTTCTTTCTCAGGTTAATTAATAAAGAATGATTTTTGAAAAATTGTTTGAGTCACATTTCTAACTTCTTATATGGCGCTGGCAGAGACAACATCTATGTAAATCATTTTATAACAATTTTTGAAGCACTATGGATCATGCAATTTTTCAACAAGAAGGGAGGAGTCTGTCCTTGGTGATCTTATAGTCC